CCAAATCTGAATTATTTGCAAGGAAGTCTAAAGCAGCTGCTGTACTTTTATTAGAAGGAGCTGTCCAATCCCTGCACCTGGACTGATCCATTGGCTCTGGGAGTAAGAGCTAAGAATTTTCGATCTGTCACTGTCCTTGTTCTTCTCTGTGTGTGAGCAGAAGAGCTCACATTGTTTGCTGAGTCTTTGGACAAAAATTACTTGGAGCTGACAAGGAGTGCTAGTTATCAGTCTGAATGCCTCAGCTACAGGCAGCTGGGGAGTTTGTGACTCTTGTTAAAATACTATTTTATTAACATTTAAGATGCTAGACTACTCTGGAAACACTAAGGACTTGTCTGCTAAAACAGGAATGTTCAGAAAATCAGACAATGGAATGTTACATAATTCGTAAATTAATTTGCCTGAAGGATAGTTTAGTGCTTCAGTGTGTCTGTAAAGTGCTTGCCAGCGAGGAGTGGTGGTGGTGGTTTGTTCCAAAGATGTCACTGTTTCCACCTGTTTGAACATGTAAAACAGGGCTTAGTGTGGTCTTGGCAAGGTCTTGCTCAAAATTCCTTGTACAAAAAAGACAATAATCACGGCTGTGGTTTCTGTTTAGGCTCTTACGAAATATAAATTGTCAAACTGTCTTTTGACAAGTACAGGTTTTGTTCCCTCTACCCCAAGTAATTTGGAGCCACCAACCCAGCAAATTAATCCTGTCTAGTTCTGTCTTCTGAAGAAATGCAGTAACAAATTAGATTGCTTCAGCACACCAGCCCTAGTTTTAAATTCATTCACCAGTTCATATTAGCAGATGGATTTCATACTGTATTCATAGGAGTGGCTTTGGTTCATTAGGATTTACACCGCAGCACAGGTATGGAAAGTTCCTTGCAGATGAGGAAAGGCATGTTGCTTACTTATATCTAACAAAACTGAGCTTCTCTGAATTCAATAACTTTGCTTTTAAGCTCACATGTTTAGGTCAGTGTGGAGACTCCAGTAAAAGTACTTCTTTTTTACTTTTTTTTTTCTTTTTTTTTTTTTTTTGACAGATTCCTGCCTTTGGCACTTTATGGTTATGGCCTTGGTCATATGGCTATGGTTATGTGCCTTTGGAAAATTTACAGGGATGGATTTCCATAAAAGATAATTCCTTTCAATTACCCCATTCTCCAAAGTCAGATATGTGTCTTAAAAGTAAAAAACAAACAAACAAAAACCCCCAAACAAACAAAACCAAAACCAAACCAACCAAACAAGAAACCATAAAAAAAAAAACCCAACCAAACAAAAAACCCACACTAAAATGTTAGTGTGATTTTTCGGGTTCCGTTCTGGTCTCAAAACAATGTAGGGGTATGCTTTTAGTAGCAGGAATTGTTCGTCTAGAAGGGAGTTAGTGGTTTTTATTGTTTTAAGTACAATGTATTTCAGTTCAAACAACGGCACTGCATTTGTAATTAATCACTGCCTGAACCCCAGAGTGTTGCCAGTCTGGAAATGGCAGTCTGGTGAGGCAGCACAGGAGAGCAGGAACAGAGCTCGTCCCTGTAGGACACTGCAAAGCTCCAGCAGCAGCTTAGTCCAGTGCTGGGGAGAGAAAGGGAGCAGAAGGCACTGATTGCTCAGAGACAAGGCAGTCTTGTCCGAGGAGAAAGGTGGACGGTTCAGACTCCGTGTCCTACACGATGCTGCTCCTGTGGCTGCCTCACAGCTCCCACGTCAGACAGGATTCAGAGAGCATTTTCACAAAAAACCCATTTCACCATCACCTGGGGGTAGTTTGGGGCCCGGCTCAGCTCCAGGTTTCTCTGTGGGTCCCCAGGGAGGGAAACAGCAGCGATATCATGGGCTGACTGTGAAGCCTGAGGCTCGCACGTGGAGAAACCAGCATCAGCCAAGTACATGTTAGTGCATAAATAGTTTTTTTTCTGGGCTAAGCTGTCATCCCTCTTAATGATTCCTTGCATAGAAGTTGTTTGTACTCTTAATTACCTTTGCTACCTTTCTTTACCTCTTCTAACTCACTGCATCCTTTCTGAAGCAAGTGACCAGATGGCCTGAGCTTATGTTATTCTAAGGACATAACAGAGGTACATCAGAAAAATTAGTACCTGTGTTCTAGCAATGGGCAACAGCAAATCAGCTGTAATTGGTACAAAGGCTGCTACTGTAGGGTCTCTCTGTCGTGGCAGTGTGCTTTGTCATCACCTCTGTCTGCCGGGTTGAGGAGGGCTGAGCTCAGGGCTGGCAGGGGGCCAGAGCAAAGCGTGGGTTTAGCTCCCCGTGTGTCCCGTGTGGGAGCTGCACCAGCAGATCCAGAGCAGCCTCTTCGTGAGCTGGAGACCCTGTAGAGGCTGTGAGATCTACAGGTCAGACACTTGGAGGCTTTGCATCTTCTAAGCAGAAACTGTTCATCTCAGTGAAAATCAGCCTAACTGCTGAGTTCGGTGAGTTTGCACAAAACAGCCCCACCTGACAGCTGGGTCAAAGGTGTGAGGAAAAATTTATCTTCAGGCTTTTATCTTCCTCTGAGTGTTATATCAAAGTGCCTTTGTTAGTGACAAGTAAGTATCCTTCATTAAAAAAAGAGCTTTGCATGACAATTATGTAGTAGTTTTTGTTTGCTTTCCTAATTGGAGAACATTTTGAAAGAGCAATAAAACACAATTTGTTCCCTCTTTCCAAAGCGAAACATCTCCTTTTGGAAGGAAGGAGGGAGTAAATTTACATTATAATGAGCAAATTGTTATGAGCCTGTAGATCAGTGTTGACATAAAGGGTGACGGAAATGAGATGTTCTCATTTTGTGCATTCCCCTCCCCTTTTGCTTGCATTTGCCTGTGGATCCTGTTGTTACTGAGCAAGGAAGTGGCTGCACTCGTGGTCAACAATAGCAACACATCACAATTGAGGGAACAAAAATTGGTATGAAAAAAGTCATTCTTCACCAGGGAGTGAAGAATGTGCATCTCAATCCTTTCCCCAGTGATGGAGGCAGGTCCAGGTTTCTACTACACCTTCTAGCCAGTTGGTTTTTACTGTCTTGTGTTTTCCTGTTGGTCTTGTCCTTTCCCAGCGCTGTCAGAATATTGGTGGGATGAGAGTGCTGTTCTTTGGCTTCAGGCATATGACTTATCTAGAAAGAGTTCAGAAAAACAGCAGGGTTGGGGTCTGCTCCTGCCCTGCTGCCAACCTCGGGGGTGACTGAGAAGCCAAAGCTTTTGTCTCAGTTGTCCCTCTGTCCTGCCCTTACTTTTGGAAGGGAACTGCGGCTGTCCAAATCTTTTCTCCTTCCTGTCCCTCTCTCTTTGTAACAAGTGGGTTCATTACTGGGTTGAGCAGCTGAAAGTGACATTAACCCCCTGCCCAGCTGTTGCAGTGTCAGGGCTCCAGGCGAAATGGCATTTGTTTGGCTCCTGGAGAAGTCATCCAGCGATTGCCTGGAGAGTCTGGCTGCAAGTGAAATCCATATGCAATGCTTCTGTCAGCAAAGACTTGCTGGAGGAGAGTTTATAATAAATATTCACATCTGCTGCTTTGGACACTCTAATCCATCCTACAGATCTTTGCTGTGTCAGGCTTTGTTCTAGATGAAGAAGCTGGGTAGTTACAAAGGTTTGCAAATAGGGCATATTTATCATGGTTAGCTCTACTTCCTAGTTCCCATTCTTGCACACATATCCATGACCACACCAAGCATAACTTGTAGTTAAATAATCTCGGTGCATTTATAAGGTGTTTTAGGCTACGTGTTTCCTTTGATAAGTGGGGAAATGAAGCCATCAGGTCTTCATGGGCAGAGCAGAGAACATCATTGTTGTGACTTAGTTTGAATGGGGGGACAGGATATTCCCTGGATAAACTATTCATCACACAGGCACACCCAAGGCCCAGTGGCTCACATATTGTTAAAACTGGGACAGATTCTTCCACACTCACTTCTGTTGGGCAGTATGTTTCCATTGGCCACTTGGGGAATAACCTGAGTCACTGAAAATAGCAAAATATCTCCTGTTTTTCATAATCTTCCCAAAAATGATGACCTTGGTGCCAGACTGTCTTTGTCAGTGTCAATATTAATTATTTTTCTGCTGGTGATATCAGCTTTCAGAGAGAAAATCTCGATACATAAAAAGCTGTAATCATTTGGAGGGTATATTGAACTTGCTCCTAATAGAAAAAGGTGTTTGACCAAGATCATGGCAGACAGTAGAGTGATCCTGTTGTTGGTAGGGCCATATCAGCTTTAAAATAAACGTATGGATTCCCCCCCCCATTTTTTTTTGGTACGTGAAGCTCATGATTATTATAGTTAATTTCTAAAGGAGAGAATCTTTATCTGCGGGCTGGGTAAGTAAGAGGTGCTTTAAACATATCACTTACCAGCTGTTACCTCTGCTTTTATTTAAGGATGAAGATAATAAACTTATAAACACATTCTGCTTCTTTAAGAGTGATGAAAACTGAGTTTGATTTGTAAATAAATACATGGAAACTGGGAACTCCTTAGAACCTTTCTTAGGTTTTATTTTTTTTTCTATGGTTAGACCCAATTTGATACTAAGAATTTAATTATCATCAGGTTTTTTTCCATAAGGATATAAGGGAGCAAGACCCTTAGTTCAGTTAGAGCCTTGACCTCATGGAAATTCAGCTGAAAACCCACATCTTCATGTCTTACAGCAGTACAAGCAAAGCAGCATTAGAAGCATGTCTGATGTTGATACCTCCAGGTATCAGAAGAGCATCTACTTCTCTGGTGCTCAGCCTTGTGTGTCAGAATCTGGCCCTGAGTAACTGTAGCCAAATATAAGTAAACCAGCCCTGCTCCTAATGAGGAGAACACCGGGGTCTCCAGATTCGCTTCATCGCTGCAAAATCCAATCTCACTATTATTGATCCGTCCAGCAGGAGCGTACACACAAGGGGGGGGGGTGTGTCTTTAAAAACCACGACCTCATAACTTGCGCGGCCTTTTCCAACCTCTCTGCCTCTGCTCTGCCTTGCAGGTGGCGTGGTGGCCCTGGGCAGCAGCGACGGCTCGGTGCGGGTGCTGCGGCGGGACGCGGGGCAGCTGTGGGCGCTGCGGGGCCCGGGCGGTGCCGTGCGCTGCCTGCGCTTCCACGGCCCGCGGCGCCTCCTGTCCGCGGGCGCCGACGGCAGGCTCTGCCTCTGGACCTGAGCACCGCCCCCGCCCGGCGCCGCGGGACCAGCCTGGGGCATCATCGCCGGTGTCTGCGCCCCAACGGAGCGTTGTTCGGCGTTCTATCCAAATAAACCCCCCCCCCCTCAGTTTCTCCCTCTTTCTGTCGGCCCCGCGTCTCTGCCCAACGCCAAGAGTCTCTCTCCTTCGGTGGTTTCTGGAGAAACGGCTTTACAATGACGCCTAATGACAGCGCAGCCGAATTGCAAGGAGATTGATTTTTTTAATGTAGCACAGCACGAGACGCGGGAGCCGGGGCGCCCCTTCCCCAGCGCAGCCGCCTGCGGGAAGATGAGGCGAAGTTTCCATAATGCGGCCATTGGGGATGTTTTCCCGGACACCGCCGGGGCAGCGGCGATGAGCCGGAGCTGGGGATCGCGGAGGGGCTGAGGGGAGCCGGGCTGAGAGGAGACCGCCTGAGGGAGTCCCAGCTGGCGGATCTGAGCGGGGAGCCGGTGGATCTGAGGGGAGTCAGTGGATCTGAGGGGAGCCGACGGGCCTGGGGGAACCCGCCTGAAGGGAGCCCCAGCCGGCGGCGGTGAGGGGGGAGCCGGGGGATCTGGGGGGGCTCCGGGCTAAGGGCAGCCCGGATGAGGGGAGCCCGAGGCGGCGGGTCTGAGGGGAGCCACCGAATCTGAGGGGGAAACCGGCGGGTCTGAGGGGAGCCCAGAGCCGTCGCCCCACCGGCGGCGGGCGGGGCAGCGGCCGGGGCGGGGGCGCCCCGCCCCTGCATTATTTTTTGGTGGTTTTTTTTCCCCCCCTTGCTCTCCCCTCTTTCTTCTCCCCTCCTCCCCCCAAAAAAAAGAAAAAATTGTTGCAAGAGCGGGCAGGGAGCTGCGCGGCGCGGGCATGCCCGGCCCCCGGCCCGGGGAGTCCCCGGAGGGGAGCGGGGGCTGCCCGCCCGCCGGGCGCGGGGCTCCTCCGCCCGCCTTCCCCCGCCTGCCTCCCGCCTAACCCGCGCTCGCTCCCCCCCTTCCCCCGCCGTGGCAAAGCTGGAGCCGCAGGAGATCCGCCGGGCACAGGGAGGGGACAGAGATGGGTTGTTTTCTCACACCCCCCCCGCCCCGAGACCTGAGGAGATGCAGCCCAAGTTCGCCACGATGACTCTGCTGCTGGCACCGGGGATTCTCCGCGGCATCCCAGCCTCCGGACCGCCTGAATCCTGCTCCCTCTGAATCCTCGGCGCCGGGTTAAAGCTTGATTCTCATGTTGTGGTTGCTGGGCTGCCGCGCTCCCCTGTCTTGCGATGGGAGGTGGAGGAAAAGGGATTGTCCGTGAGTCAACACCGAAAACGTGATTAGGAGGAACTGCTTTCACTAATCTGTTTCTAACCTTTCAGTCCTTGTTGGCCTGTGACCCCTCTCAGCTTTCAGATCGAGCCTGATTAGGTAAGTGTGAATTATTCGCTTGGGGTGAGGGAGGGCGGGTGGAGACGTTTTACTCAAAATTAACCACGATCCTGAGCTCTCTCATGATGAGAAATTATGAGAAAGTTCAAGCTGTAAACTAATTCTGAGCTGAGCAGCATTTGTTTACTTGTTGAAATCTGTCCGTGCAAGACGTCTGCAGTCTGTCTGATTTCCAGGATCGCTTGTGAGTTGCTGTGGGACATCTCAGCTGCTGGTAGCAAAATACAGTGCTCTTATTTATGATCCGTGGAGAACTTTTACATAAATATATATATATATATGTTTTGGAGAGTTTCTTCATCAAACTCTAACAAATTCTCTCGATTGTTTCACGTTTCCTCAGATATGAATTACTTTATTTGCTTGGGGTTTTTTTCTCCCTTAAAATGCCCACAGATCTGCAATGTTGCAACCTACCTGTAGCATTTAGGTGGGGAGATTCTCTGTTCTGTAGATAAGTAAAGCAGCCGTATCTGCAGGAATCACTTGATTTCCAAACAGCATGTTACAATAGATATTGCTGATAGGAGTAACAACAGGGTGCATAGTCCTTGTGATGGAAACGCAGCTAGTACTTCAATTAATAAGATATCTTTTTGAATTTGATAAAGCTTGTGTAATATCCGGTGTCTCCCTCTGTTGTGGCTTTGGAAAAACTGCTTTGTCAACAGGATCCCTTAGCTGCTTCTCTAGGATTAAAGCTTTCTTCTCCTGCTGCTGCTTTTTTTTTTGCATAAATTAAGGGAGAATTAATTGCCGAACATCTGCAGTCCACCAAAAATCCCAGTACATAGAGAATATCTCTCCGAGGGGTGGGGGGAAGTACGTGTTTGCCTTTGTGTGTGCAGGTTAATGCATGTTTGTGGATACTGTGTGTGACTGTGTGTGCGTGCTCCGGGAACGGAGGAGGAGAAGGGATGATGACACGCACATCCCAACAGCCCTTCTTTTGGTTTGTGCCAGGATCTACCTCCGTGGTTCCTCATTCCAGATAAAGCTAGTATTTCATCTCGCTGAAAAGTTTCCTGTAAGACTTTGCCCAGTTCCCTCAAGAGAGGTCAGAAATCAGTTTGCTGCCGGGGTTGCCCTGCCCGCGGGCTGGTGTGGGGGCAGGTTGGTGGCGGTGATGTGGCACTGTAGGAAGCCAGAAGCGCTCCCAAGACACCGGCACGGAGCCTTCGCCTGGCGCCGGCGCTGCCGGGGGTCAGTGCAAAGCTCCTCTCCCTCCCCGGGTCGATCCTTCGGCTCGGCCGCCTCAGCAGAGCTCGCCGAGGGTCGGGGCCGTGCTGCGTCGCTCCCAAAGTTTGAGAAGGGCTCAGCTTCATCAGGCAAACGCACTTCAGCTGCTCCATGCGTTTTGCAGGCATTTAACGTCCTGTCTCCGCGTTTCTCTCTGGGAATCACTGGAACGCTGAATAATGGAGCAGGTGAACCGCATTTTTGCTTCTGTTGGGGTTATAGGTACCTGCTGCAGGCTGGGCTGTGTTGGTAGCTCAGCTAGTCCCTCTTCAGAAATGCTGTATATAAAATTCTATGCTCTCCCACCTCTCACTGCCCAAGGATAATCCAGCACCATCTTTCATATTGGATACAGATCTGACAGCAGACTGTGCTTAACTCCTTTTTCAGCTCAGCTTTCCCACCCCAGCTTATTGGAGTGGGTCGTTCACCCTATGTAGCACCAAGGGACAGCGGCCATGGCTGGGGGTTTAGGCTGTGCTTAAACTGGGGGGTTCAAAACCCTCCAAGCTGCCACCACCATGTGATTTCAGGCAGCTGATTTAATTTCTGCTGCATCTGAAAACTAAGCTGGACAAATGAGGAAAGTAAAAATTAGATGATTCCGTGAGCCACCATTCCTCAGAGATACTTTGTGGGCATATACTTCCAGGCATGAGTGTCCAAGTTACGTATTTCACATCTTTGTCCTCTGTAACAGTAATGGAGAGGAGGCTTAATTTAAGTGAAACAGTAATATTTATCAATGCAGTTTGAGAATTCTGATTTATTCTTAGGTGATGGTTGAACCTATGACCATTATAAGGCAATATTCCTTGAATTTTGGGTTTGTTCTCACTTAAAAATACTTGTTTTCAGACCACAACACTGGTCTCCTTATGGAAGCAACTGTTTGTATCTGGCATTGAGATCCCATGGAGAAGCTGAGGAGGGGGATGGCTCTTCATGAAGTCTGGATACTTCTGTTTGTAATCCCTGGTTTGGTCACTCCAGCTGCCATCAATCATGAAGACTATCCTGCTGATGAAGGGGACCAGACCTCCAGTAATGACAATCTGATCTTTGATGACTACCGGGGGAAGGGCTGTGTGGATGACAGTGGCTTTGTGTACAAACTGGGAGAACGTTTTTTCCCGGGACATTCCAACTGTCCCTGTGTCTGTACTGAGGATGGACCTATTTGTGATCAACCAGAATGCCCTAAAATCCACCCAAAGTGTACAAAAGTGGAACACAATGGATGCTGTCCGGAATGCAAAGAAGTGAAGAACTTTTGTGAATATCATGGGAAAAATTACAAGATCTTGGAGGAATTTAAGGTATGACATCCTTTCTTCAGTATTTAGTATTAGTATGCTTTAGGAATTGTATTTTTGCTGGGAACTCTCAAAGGCACTCAGTATTTGCTTACTGCTGTTGATGGATGCTGAAGCTGAAGTCGTTTTTAGCTGTGGTGCAGGTCTGGCTCACGTAAAAGCTGTAAAAGCTGCGAAAGCTCCCCCTTACCAGCATTCACTGAGGGCCTGTGGTCAGTCAAAAGCCTCCCTGGGAATTGCCAGCCCTCTGGATCTGCCTCCTTTGCTCATATCATGGATCATGTTGGAGCACCAGTGGTGCATAAACCAATGCTGAGTGCTTTTTAAGAACCCCTTTTCCAATTAGGATTGCAAAAAAATTGATGGTGCAATACTGAGAGCTGTTACTCGTAACTGTATGAGAATGCAAACAAGTAGATGCTAAACTGTATTTAATGTTTTGATTTGAACTGGGGTAAGGCTGTCTAGAATGGAGAAGATGAATTCTAGGCAGATGACCATCTCGAGTAAGAAGAACTCTGGGGTTTTATTGTAATGGTTGAGATCCTCTTAGGAATGGTGTGAAGAAATCCTTTTGAAATGTATCTTAAAAATAAGACCAGATTCTAAAAAACCATTACCCTTTACACAACCTGCATCTCTCATTCTAATGGGTTTGATCACATGTTTTCAATTCTGCTAAGGAGGATAGCATTTCACAATGAAGAATGGTGTCTGTAAAAGCTGTAGGTACCCAAGTTTGTTCTCCCAGGTCACGTGGCTTTAGGATTTGTACCTCTATAATTAATGACAGCCTACAACTCTTCATGGCTGTGTGCCCGATCTCGTTATACACTTGGGCAGTTTATTTGCTTTCCTGCAAAAAGAATAATTTCATATTGGTCTGCGCTTCGCAAGTTCTCAGTATCATAGATGACAGTTTCCTTCTTTCCAGAAACTATCATTTCCAGTGAAAGTAGTGGTTAGTTCCTCTCTTCTGTAATGTGTGATTTATGTTCATCTTTTTCTGTCCATCTGTATCTGCAGTCCCTCAGTCTTGGCAGGATAGCTGAATACCACAGGCAGGGGGCAGAGCAAAGGTATGAGGAACATCTCCCTTGAGGTGCCATCCTGATCAGCCTGTTCCCTGCTTTGCTTCAGTGAGGAAAGTGAAGTTGCTGATCTTACAAACTGCTTAAATAAAGCAGTAAACTTGTGCAAAATCTTGTGAACTGCTCTTCTTGCCCGAGGAAGGCCTAGACCAGCTTCATCATGCTCCAGTGGTCCCTTTTTGACTGCTGTGTTGTCATCAGGTAGTGGGCTGTCCCACTAGGTGGTTGGATTCTTACATGAGAGTTACAGGGACTATTTTGGCGAGATGTTGGGAAGCAGAAAGCTACAAGGACTCTTTCTGAAGAGATTTCAATGGGAGAATAATGAGGTGGATCTTGTCCTTAAAATATTTTTGTGTGTGAATTAAGTGCAAAATCAGTAATCGCTTTTCCTGAAAGAAGTCTTTGCATCCTGATAACAGATTAAACTCTACAGAAATAGAGAATGTAGGAAGAAAGGCTAGTAGAGTTAGGAGCCATCTGGTTCATTGCTTGTTGTGTTCAGATACTGTGGGTTGCTGTGTGAAAAGTGCCAGTATCCTCTGAGAAACACAGAGTTGATGGTGTCACGCCACTCTCACACGCACTAACCTTCTGTCCAGAGCTAATGTGAGACGCCTCAGACTTAATTTAGCTGACAGTCAAGCTTGTGACCTGGACCTGTGTTTTGCTGAGAGCTCAATACCTTGTGGAGTAGGGCAGAAAAACCAGTGTTTTGGAAATCTGTGTGTTTACCTAGAATAAACAGTGGGTTTGTTTCCCTCTTAAGTAGTGTAGGAGAGTCAGGCAATGGAAGATCACTTCCAGGGGTGTTTAAGGGGGGGAAAGGAGCACCTGTGAACTATGACTTTATAAATGCTATAGGAAAGACCGAACTTCAGGATTCAGGAAACTGCTGCTCTGAAGTCTTGGCTTTATGAGGCACCCAAGCACAGATGAAAGTCAGAGCAGTTCGCAGGTTTTGCAGGCTCTGAGCTCTGCTTTTCCCTCATCCTGTTGCATTTCTAAGGTCTGCAAACTTTCTCACGTCCGTTCCACGCACACTGAAGTCAAAGAGGAGAGGCTTTCTCCAGTGACTGACTCAAACCCAGGCTGCTTTCAGTGGAAACAGAGGCACTGTTTTATGTGGTCTCAGAACCCTTTCACCCACTTGATTTACTTTTGCTCATATGGAGGTTCCAAATCGTCATCTATAGAAGGGCTTGTCAGTGCTTAGTTTCAGCTGAAATTAGCCTCTATTTAAAAATCTTCTGCGAGTGTGTGTCTGTGTGTGTGTGCCAGGACTGACTCATCTTGTAGAGATTTCAGCTGCCCGATCTTTCACAAATTAGGATTAATTTTCTTCTCTAGGGTTTTTTTTTTTTTTCCTCAAGGGTATCAAAATCTATGCAAGTTCCCATTTGGAAGAATTTTTCTGTGTTGTTGCTAGATTTTTGCTTAGATTTGGGGTGATAAACCCAAAAGCAATTTAATCTTTTTTCTTACCACTGGCAGTAACTCTGATGCTCTCAGGATAAAGGGGTTGTTACAAAGACCCATTTCTTGAATGTTTAGCTTTCTTGTAGTGAGCAGATCTTGCACATCTGATTTTTTGAGTCATAGCAGTCACAAGCACAAAATACAAACATGACAACAAGCCATCTAGCTCAGACAGCTGTCCAAATGTTTATGCTTGTGCCCCGCAGTCGGTAACACGTACAGCTGAAATACTAAACCGAAGTCCAGTTGTACATCTAAACCCATTAGGAGTTTTCCTTGTATCCTTTTGTAAAACCTGGTGTCCTAAACAGATGGTTTAGTAATGCCATGTAGCATTTTCACAGCTTTGTTGTGGGTCCTGGGGAGATCTTGGTGGGTTTAGGGCCCAAGGTCAAGGATTTGGATATCTGTGGAGCAGGAGAGAGGGTAGCCGTGGTGGGTTTTACTGGGATCCATCTCTCTCTTTCCCATCTAGTTTTTCACTTCTCTGTCAGCCTCAAATCTGCTCTCTCGGGTCTCCTCTGGCCCCTGTCAGAGGGAGCACAGGCAGTGTGGTGGCTGCAGGGCAGGTGTGAAGGGTGCTGCGAGTCTCCGGCAGTCTCTGTTTTCTCAGAGGGATCTGTCAGGGACTCTTGGGGTCACTTGGCTGCTTGTTTTTATTCCCACACACCATCCTTGTTTTGATTTCAGTCCTGGAGGTGAAGGTCTGAGTCCCAGGTGTTCTGTGCTTGCCTGCCAGGAGCAGAGATCTTTCAGGGAGGTTGTTGACACTCCCCTTCCTTCCCAGAGAGAGAAAACAAGCAAATAACAACTCTGGGGAGTGGTCTAGGTTATTGTAAATCCACATGGCTGTGTTTTAAATTAACGTTCCCAGACAGCAGCTGATGTAAACTTGAGGAGACAGTGTTCTGCCAGCGTGATGGATGTTCATTGGCAGCTGATGGAGCAATCCTGCAAATGTCACTGAGACAACAGTTTCCCCAAGTGCTGATTAGTTTTGTCTCTCTTGCATAACTTACTGAGAGAAAAGCACACACCTTCCCACGTTGGAGAAATGAAATTCCGGTGTGGTTACAGTGTACTCATAACCACGGTCAGGAGCTGTTGGAAGAGGATTGGGTTGTCAGTTTGGAAAGTCCATCATCAGTTCTGAACTTCCCTGGATCTCTCACCACCCAAGAGGCATACCCAGAATAACCTTCTGTGCACCTCTATGGATATGTAGCCAAATGCCAGTGCTGGGAGATGAACAGTCAGTTCACAAGAGATTGTCAAGCTGACATTCTCTTCATTTTAGACTGGAAAACAGGAACTGCTCCCTTTCTCTGCAGGAGGGTGAGTCGCAGTGACATGGGTTTGGTAGCGTGGTGCCATCTTCCAAGGCAGTGGCAGGAGTGTCCTAAGCACAGACATTAAAATACCTGGGTTTGCCTGGCAGGACATTGGGTGAGTTATCCTTTGGGTGGGGACACAAGAGGTTTTGGTGTCACAGCTTGGCCTTCCTGAAAATACTCAGGTCAGAGGAACATCTTCAACCTGCAGTTGTGAGCTGGAAAAACACTCTGAACATCAAGGACAATTTTTGGGTGCTCTTCAGTGGCTGCCCTGCTTTCTGCCGAGAGCTGCAATTTCTTCCAGCCATTGGCTCTGCCAAGGCTTAGCCTCTGCTGCCTGTCCTTCCCAATGACTTCTCCACCTCCTTGTCCTCTTCCCTTCACCTTCACTGCTCCCAAACCTGTCCTCAATCAAAAAGTGCCAAGGTGGTGCCCAAATGTTTGTCCCTTGCATCGAGCACAGGTGTGGAGGGATGGGAGAACATCCCTTGTCCATGGGCAGGACTTCACACTGGGGGGGAAAACACCCACAAAAGGAAAAGAAAAAAAAGGCAGAAAAGGGGCGATTTTTGCTTCTAAGGCAAAATCTTCACTGACTTGAAAAGAGCCAGGATTCAGTGCTGGAGTCGCGCTTTATTTTTCTTTCCCCTGTTTCCTGCCAGTATATCTTAAGTTCATTGCTTTGTTTTGTCCACAAATCACCTGTAATCTTTCACTGAGGGTTTCTGTATCTTGCTGACTTTATGGCACAGTAGGGATCACAGCTCTAAGCAGGGATCTGCAGGTTGTAATCAGAATTCCAAATAAATGAGGGACTGTGTAAGCATAGCATTATCATATACTAATTCTCAGCTCATTATAAAAAACCTTTACTTCAGAATAGTGGCACCTCCTTCTCCTTTGTTAATGCTCTTTTAAAATGTTTCATTAATGCAGTTAATCTGAATATAACTTAGCTAAGTAAGGCCTCTCATCAAAGGACACGTGCAAGTGTGCAGCAGCTGTCCCAGCTGCCGGTTGGGACCGTGGGTGCTCTGGGCTGTATCAGTGTGAGAGGACAGAGTTACAACACCTCAAATCTGAGGAGCTTCCTTGGGCC